ATATTCAACCCTAAACCCTAGCCCCAAACCCTAGCCCCAAACCCTAAACCCTAGTCCCAAACCCTAAACTCAAATCCAACGCCTTAAACCAGAACGCTAAACGTAAACCCTAGACCCTAGCCCCAAACCCTAAACCCTAGTCCCAAAACCCTAAACCCTAGTCCCAAAACCCTAAACCCTAGCCCCAAACCCTACACTCTAGCCCCATACCCTAAACTCTCGCCCCTAACCCTAAACCCTCTCCCCAAACCCTAAGCCCTGGCCCCAAACCCTAAACCCTAGTCCCAAACCCTAAACCCTCGCCCCAAACCCTAAACCCTAGCCCCAGGGCTCACAAAGCAAGTCGCCAGGTTCGCCTGGTTCCAGCAGCAAGCCTCTGCATCTGCGCTGAGGGGCGCAGTGACCTGCAGCAGCAGCAACAGCAGCAGCAGCAGCAGCAGGGGCGTGAAAGACCCGCAAAGCCCAAACCCTAAACCCTAAACCCTAAACCCTAAACCCTCAGACTCACCGCCACGTGTGGCTGCCGCACATCTATTAAACAAATTGTTTTGTCATAAGAAGCTGTTGCCAGCAGCGAGGCTTCGGAGGGATGCCAGGCAATGGCTTGCACCTGATAGCAACACCCAAACCCTAAACCCTAAACCCTAAACCCTAAACCCCAAACCCTAAACCCTAAGCCCTAAACGCTACCTTGTTGCTGTGGTGCTTGTAAGTCGACAGGCAACTCCCAGTCGTCAAGTCCCAGAGCTTTGCAGTTTCGTCTGCGCTGCCGCTAGCCAAAACCTCCCTGCTCACAAACCCTAAACCCTAAACCCTAAACCCTAAACCCTAAACCGTAAACCCTCGGCGTTCAGTGTCACGCCCTGCGCCCCGCCCCAAACCTCATCTGAAGTTCGCCCGAATGTATTCACCCTTGCAGTGTGCACGGCCAAAGACCCCCAAACCCTAAACCCTAAACCCTAAACCCCAAACCCTAAACCCTAAACCCTTTCTCACTCTTTCAGCGGAGAAACCTGGAGACACATGACGGGCCCCTCGTGGGCGTCTGGGGCTCTGCTGCGTTTATCTCTTTTGCTGCCTTTTCGCTTGCCCGCAGCGCCCCCGCGCCCCCCTTGCTGCTGCCGCTGCTGCTGCTGCTGCTGCTGCTGCTGCTGCTGCTGCTGGCCCAGCGCATGCACGGGCTCCAGCGCATCCAAAATGTCCAAATCCCAAATTTGAATTAAAGGGTCAAAACCCCCAACAGCAATTAAGTTCTTTTTGGGGGCCCCGGGCATTTGCCCCAGCCACTCGAGACACAGCGGGAAACCCCCGCACTGCGCAAACCCTAAACCCTAAACCCTAAACCCTAAACCCTAAACCCTAAACCCTAAACCCTGGGCCTATGGAGGAGCACGTGTGTCTGACAACCCTGAAGAGTGCTAAACCCTCGGCATTGGACTTCGTTTGTGAGCACCTGCGCCCAGGAATGACTAGTGGCAGCCAAACCCTAAACCCTAAACCCTAAACCCTAAACCCTAAACCCTAGAGCGCACCAGGATGTCATGGTGGACGTAGAGACTGCCTCTGAGGGGGTCGTGTACGTACACCTCAAGGCTGCCAAAGTTGCTTTCTGCTGCTGCAGCAACAAGAACAAAATCAGTTTCTAAAATTATATTTGCTTCTTCTTCTTCTGCTGCTGCTGCTGCTGCTGCTGCTGCTACGCCTTCGTCCCGCAGCGCCGTCGCTCCGTCCGCAGCCAAAACCCCGAAAACCCCCGGCAGCGGGACCTCTGAGCCACAAACCCTAAACCCTAAACCCTAAATCCTAAACCCTAAAGCCTAAGCCCTGCAGCAATCGTTTCGCGGCGAAAGGAATTCAGCTTAAGAGCAACGAGGGTTTGCAGAGCTTCACATTTGCAGTCAAAGACATGGCTAAGGGTTTAGGGTTTGGGGTTAGGGTTTAGGGTCTAGGGTTTAGGGTTTAGGGTTTAGGGTTTACCGTCTTCGCTGTCGTCGTCTTCTTCCATTTGGTCTTCCCATTCGCCGGCGTCACTCTCCCCGTCTTGTGCTGCTGCTTGTTCCTGCAGCAGCTTCTGCTGCTGCTTCTTCTGCTGCTTCTTGCTGCTGCTGCTGCTGCTGCTGCTCTCCTCCTGCTGCTGCTGCTGCAGCAGCAAAGACACATCCTGCTCCTCTATTAAGCAGCTCATTGGGAACTGAGCGCTGCGGCCCCGCGGGACCCAACAGACGGAGCTGACTGTCACCTTTTCCCCCATCCTTCTAAACCCTAAACCCTAAACCCTAAACCCTAAACCCTAGGCCCTAGGCCCTAAACCCTTCACCCTGGACTGGAAGCCCACAGGCTTCAGACCCGAGCCCGCTGAAGTCGCCACTGAAGTTGGTGGAAAAGCGTAAACCCTAAACCCCAAACCCTAAACCCTAAACCTTAGGCTCGAAACCCCAAACCCTAAACCCTAAACCCTAAAATAGCAGCCGACACAGAGGCCTCCCTTCTAATTCAATGCATGCCGATGGGGCCCCTAAACCCTAGACCCTCGACACTGGGGAGCCCTCCTGAACCCTAGACTCCAAACCCTAAACCCTAAACCCTAAACCCTAAACCCTAAACCGTAGATTAAAATATTTTGTAGCAGCTCTGCTGTGAATACTAGAAGGCGTTTCACTCGAAGGCCTCAGGGCTGTGTGGGGCGGCGAGCCCAAACCCTAAACCCTCCAGAGCCGAAACCCTAAACCCTAGGGCTTAAACCCTAAACCCTAAACCCTAAACCCTAAACCCTCACCAATGAGCCTCAAAATCTTTTTTCCAAAATATCCAGATCAACTGCTCGCTGCGGCAACTCATGCGGTTCGGCACTGCAGGACCGCTATTGCTGCTGCTGCTGCTGCTGCTGCAGTTTCTGCTGCTTCAGTGAGCTGCTGCTGTTCTCTTCTGGCTTGCTGCTGCTACAACTGTAGGAAGGCCAGCAGCAGCAACAACTGCTAACGAGGGGGCGCGCTGCTGCTGCTGTTACTGCTGCTGCTGCCGGTGTTGCTGCTACTGTTGCTGCTGCCGCTGCTACTGTTGCTGCTGCTGCTGCTGCTAAACACTTTTCCAGCAGCAGCAGCAGCTGGTGTTGCTGCTGCTGCTGCAGCTGGCGCTCTGCTCGGCAGCGCCTGCAGCTGTGGAAACTCTCGGCTGCGGTGTCTCGGCTTCTGCTGCAGCTGAGCAGCAGCAGCAACAGCATCAGCAACAATAGCAGCAGCAACCATAGCAGCAGCAACAGCAGCGGCAACAGCAGCAGCAGCAGCAGCAGTTTCTCGAACCTGTGTGCGCCAGAGCATGGCTAGCTGCAGTGCTCCTCTCGGAACACCCAGCTAGCCAACTAAACAGCTAGCTAGCTGCTTTGTTTTTTAACTGCCGAGCCAGCTAGCCAGAAGCTCTAGCTAGCTAGCTAGCTAGCTAGCTAGCTAACTAGCTAGCTAGCTAGCTAGCTAACTAGCTAGCTAGCTAGCTAGCTATTGTGGCTGCTCGCCTCTCTTAGCAGCTAGCTAGCTAGCTAGCTAGCTAGCTAGCTAGTGGTTCCCCATGCCCGCCGCCTCTTTAGCTAGCTGGCCAGCTAGCCAGCCTGGCTAACTAGCTAGCCAGCTAGCTAGCCAACCGGCTGGAAAATTGAGTTGGCCAGCTAGCTAGCTAACAAGCTAGCTAGCTAGCTAGCCAGCTAGCTCTTCAGTTATCCGCCTTATTTTTTACCTTGCCGGTTCGTTAATTAAGTAATTATTTATTTATTTATTTATTCATTCATTTTATTTATTTATTTATTTATTTATTAGGTCTCGAAAGCCCCAAGCTTCGCTACAGCAAACTGTAGCTAGCTGCAGCTAGCTAGCTAGCTGCTGCAGCTAGCTAGCAGCATAGCTAGCTGCAGCAGCTGGCTGCAGCAGTCTAGGTTATTATATAAATCTGCTGCAGCTAGCTGCAGCTAGCTGCAGCTAGCTGCTGGCCCCAGTTATCCCCAGCTAGCCAGAACTAGCTGTGGCTTAGTGCAGCTAGCCAAAGCTTGCTGCAGCTAGCCACAGTTTGCTGCAGCTCGCCAAATCAAGCTGCAGCTAGCTGCCCGCTGCAGCTAGCTGAGGCAGGACTGTGGCTAGCTGCAGCTAGCCAAGGTCTAGTAAAAAGCAGCTTGCTGCAACAAGAACCGTGTCCAGCTGCAGCAGCAGCAGCAGCACAGCTGCAGCGTAGCTGCAGCAGCAGATGTGCTGCAGCTGTGCTGCTGCAGCATTGCAAGCAGCAGCTGGAGCTGCTGAGATTCGTTGCTGCAGGTGTCTTCTTTTAGTTCGCAGAAGCAGCTGCAGCAGCAGCAACAGCAGCAGCAACAGCGGCAGCAGCAGCATAGATAGCAGCAGCACCAAGTGCTTTTGCTGCAGATCTAGTCAATAACATTTTAAAGAAGAAATTGGCAGAAAACAGCAGCAGCTGCAGCATCCAGGAAGTTAGGAGGGTCAGCTGGCTAGCGATTTTCGACCGGATTGAGTCTTTCTTTCGTTTAAAATGGCAACGAGAAGAATGAATTGAAATAAAAAAAAGTTGTTGTATTATTTAAAACAAATTAAATCCAATTGGAGCTTCCAAATGCCCAAAACTGAAGAGCAGCACCGTCGGTGCTGCGCGTGGCGGCCCACGATCTCCGGTGTATGTACAGGTGCTGCTCGTGCGGGAACTTCCTCTTAATTCATTTAGTCTTTTGTTTTATTTTAAATCATTTAAATTAATTCATTAAAACTCACTTTGCTTTCTTTGGAAGCAGCAGCAGCAGCAGCAGCTTCCCGGGCGCCTGGCCTTCGGGTGTCTAGACACCACTGGTCCTTCCTCGACAATCACCCGAGCTGGAGCAACGCATTTAATTCTTTCTGCATTTATTTTAATTCAATTTGCAAAATAAATCGCCATCAGCAGCAGTTTTGCATTTTAATTCAATTTGAAGAGTTATTTGCCACCAGCAGCAGCTCTTTCTCCTGCTGCGCTGGGGCTGAGCTGCGCAGCTTCTTCCCGTGGCTGCTGCAGCTAGCCGCAGCTAGCTGCGCAGCTAGCTGCAGCAAAACAAGCAGCTATCCACAGCTAGCCACGCAGCTTGCTGCAGCAAACCGGGCAGCTAGCCGCAGCTAGCTAGGCAGCTGGCTGCAGCAATACAAGCGGCTAGCCACAGCTAGCTGGGCAGCTAGCTGCAGCAAACCAAGCAGCTAGCCACAGCTAACTAGCCAGCTAGCTAGACTCTAGAAGTTCACCGGCGCTGGGACTGACTGAAGGGCTCGAGAAAACCCCCAAAATGGCAGACGTGAGCTGTTGAGACATCTCAAACTAACCCCTAAACCCTAAACCCTAAACCCTAAACCCTAGTTGTGCCTGCGCGCAGGAGACGGAGAACATCTTTAAAGTGTTTGACAAGGACTTCGACGGAAAGCTGAAGGCCCTGGAGATGCACCAGGCGCTGGGAGCCGCAGGCCTCTGTCCCTCGTGAGGGTTTAGGGTTTAGGGTTTAGGGTTTAGGGTTTAGGGTTTAGGGTTTAGGGTGTAGGGTTTGTATGGGCTCAGCAGCACTTCACCAGCTGCGCTATGGGGAAGTCCCTTGCATGCATGAATGCATATGACTCTCGATTTCGCCTCTTGCGTCTGCCTTTTGCTGCTGCTGCTGCTGCTGCTGTTGCTGCTGCTGCTGCTGCTGCAGCATAGAAGCGGTGCAGCTAGCTGTGAAGGAGGCAGGGGAGGCCGGCGGGGACATTGAGGTCTTCCGGCGGCTGCTGCAGCAGTTCCAGAGCAGCAAGCCAACAGCAGAAACCCTCAAGCAGCAATTCAAGGTGCCCAGCTAGCCACCAGCTAGCCACCAGCTAGCCACTAGCTAGCTGCCCAGCTGGCCACCAGCTAGCCACCAGCTAGCCACCAGCTAGCTGCCCAGCTAGCCACCAGCTAGCCACTAACTAGCCGCCCAGCTAGCTGCCCAGCTAGCCACCAGCTAGCCACTAGCTAGCACCAGCTAGCTGCCCAGCTGGCTAGCTACGCAGCTAGCCAGTTCAGAAGCTAGCTAGCTTGCTGGGCAGCTAGCTACGTCGTTTGGC